TACGACCACGTCACATGACAAGCACCCGACCACGTCATACGACAAGCACCCGACCACGTCATACGACAAGCACCAGACCACGTTACACGTCAAGCACCCGATCACGTCACAGGAAAAGCACCCGATCACGTCACATGACATGCACCCGACCACGTCACACGACAAGCACCCGACCACATCACACGACATGCACCCGACCACGTCACACGACAAGTACCCGACTACGTCACACGACAAGCACCCAACCACATCAAATGACAAGCACCTGACCACGTCAGACGACAAGCACCTGACCACGTCACGCGACATCCACCCGACCACGTCACACGACTAGCACCCGACCACGTCCCACGACCAGTACCCGGTCACGTCACACGAAAAGCACCTGACCACGTCACACGAGAAGCACCCGACCACGTCATACGACCATTACCCAGTCACTTCACACGACAAGCACCTTACCACGTCACACGACAAGTATACGACCACGTCACACGACATGCACCCGACCACGTCACACGACAAGCACCCGACCACATCACACGACAAGCACCCGACCACATCACACGACAAGCACCTGACCACGTCACACGACAAGCAACCGACCACATCACACGACAAGCACCTGACCACGTCACACGACATGCACCCGGCCACGTCACACGACAAGTACCCGACCACGTCACGTGACATCCACCCGACCACGTCACGTGACATCCACCCGACCACGTCACACGACAAGCACCCGACCACGTCCCACGACCATTGCCCGGTCACGTCACACAAAAAGCACCTGACCACGTCACACGACAAGTACCCGACTACGTCACACGACAAGCACCCGACCACATCACATGACAAGCACATGACCACGTCATACGACAAGCACCCGATTACATCACACTACAGAAACTCAGGCTCGTCACCCGACAAGCACTGGCTTAGATCGTTAGACCATAGAGAATTGTAGGGAAAATGTTAATGAACACTGTCAGCTTGTCCACAAAAAACAGCACAGTATCAGCCATCTTCTTTTGAATTGTTTATCATGGTTACCTAATAGATTTATTGCTAAGCTGAGGCAACAGACTAGCATATACCGAAAGAGATGTTTAAAAACGCTATCTCGGAATTTTTTTAAAGTGCGCACGTGCAAAAGTCTTGTTCTATAGTTGGAATCACTAAAGGCGTTCCCATCTTAAGTTCTTGTAAAAGTATTTATTTAACATCGAAGGTATCCCACCATAACTTCCTTCTCTACAGTATGGCCTGAAGGCTTCCGATGTAAATCACATGACTCACTATTCATAAAGCTTATGACATTTGACAAAGTGGGGCGTCATACAGAGTCGGCTGGCAATAACGGCCATCGTTCTGGTTGCCCCCCCCCCCTTTTCTCCAAAATCGGCACTTCTTTCTATATATAAAGGTGCCCGGCATTTTCGGTGCAAAAGTTGCAATGGAAAATTTTAATTCTTTTATCAAGTACTATTAAATGTTATGAGATATTTGATCTTTAATTGGCTAACTTCTATAGAGCGTATTTAAACTTTCATTCTTCCAGTTAAATTAATTTATATTGGTCTAAGAGGAGCAAAGGAGAAAAAGGAAAAAAAAACCGTTAACTAGGGGATTCGTCATCAAAGGGCGGACTTTGATAGACATACTCCTTTGATGGCGTAGGATGGCTTAAATAACGAGCTGAATGCAGGCCCGTGTGACAGATGGAATAATATAGGCCTACACTGACAACCGTGTGACAGATGGAATAATATAGGCCTACACTGACAACTGTGTGACAGATGGAATAATATAGGCCTACACTGACAACCGTGTGACAGATGGAATAATATAGGCCTACACTGACAACCGTGTGACAGATGGAATAATATAGGCCTACACTGACAACCGTGTGACAGATGGAATAATATAGGCCTACACTGACAACCGTGTGACAGATGGAATAATATAGGCCTACACTGACAACCGTGTGACAGATGGAATAATATAGGCCTACACTGACAACCGTGTGACAGATGGAATAATATAGGCCTACACTGACAACCGTGTGACAGATGGAATAATATAGGCCTACACTGACAACC